TAATAATTTACTGCCTCAAAAACCCTACATAGGGTCACTATGATTTGGAACTGACTCAAATGTACACTGCAATGTGGGTTAATGTGCTGGACAGCAAAGTTGGTTTGAACTGCAAGGTTGACAGTTCAAGCTCATTGGTTGCTCCTTGGAAAACATAAATAAGGTCACTATGGGTTGGAACCAACTTGATAGCACTTAACAACAGCAAAAACAACCATATCGGAAGAGTTCTATTGTCACATATGTTAATGTCAGATTTTTGTCCATTGTTGCTGGTTCTGTTGAAAGAACTCTCTTAAGTATTTTTTGTAAGGTTGGTCTGGATTTTTGCAAATTCTTTTCATTTCTGTTTATTTGGAAAAGTCCTAATATTACCATCATATTTCATGGTCAATATGAATCTTGGTTAGCAATTTACTTCTCTAAGAGTTTTATATATGTCATCCCATTGTCTTCTTGCCTTCCTGGTTTCTGCTGAGAAATCAGAGCTCAATCTTATTAGTTCTCCTTTGTAGGTAACCTTTTATTTTTTTTTCCCCTAAACTGCTCTCAGGATTCTTTCCTTGACATTGATTTTGTAAAGTTTGATTATAATATGTCTTGGTGATTTTCCTTAAGGTCTATCCTGTTTGGAATTAGTTTAACTTCTTGAATGGTTTCTTCTCATCTTTCATGAGATTACGGAAGTTTTCTTTCAACAACTCTTGGACAATTTTCTCTAAGATTTATGTGTGTGCGTGTGTCTTCCTGTTCTGGAATTGTAGTTACATGTAAGTCTTTCCTCTTGATAGTATTCCACATTAATCTTAAGCTTTCTTTGGATTTTCTCTTTTTTTCTGATTGTTCCTTGAGCAGATGAATATTGAGAGATTTGTCTTTGAGTTCAATAATTTGTCTTGATTAATTCAATTCTATTTCTTTTCCTTTTCAAAATACTATATGCTTCTGAAGTTGTAGTACTAATCTTCTGGATTTCTAATTGATGTTTTTGAATGGTTTATAATTTTTCATTAATTTTACCAGTTTGTTCTTGTAGTGTTTTCCTGAATTCTTCTACAGTTTTTTTTTGTCTGTGTTCTCCTTTGTTTCCTTAAAATTTCTCTGAATCTGTTGAAGGTACCTAAACATCTTTCTTTTACACTCATCAGGTAGTTCTGATACTATTCTTTGTATTATATTTCCTGACTCCCTATTTTGGTTGCTTGTTTGAGGCACTCTGTCTTGTTTCTTTGAATAAATTGAAATTGCCTGTTTTCTCCAAGATATTGTGGTGGTGTTGTATTTATACTTAACTCATGATTGTATTTTCTGAGACACTCCTCACCTGTCTCCTTGTGGATGTGACAGAGGTTAGAAGCGGAAACACAGCTCTCTCTTTTCTGTTTGTGTAGCATAGTTCACAGTGGGTTCACCCAGAAACAGGGATGATATTCCTGGTGCTTGATCCCAGCCAGAGCCACGACTATGCAAGAGGGGGTGCCATGAGCTACTGGGTTAGCAAGGGCAGAGACTGGATTTGCCCCTGGCTACCAGCCGCTCCGCGGGAGAAAGATGAGGCTTTCTACTCCTGTAAAGATTTACACCCTCGGAAACCCTGTACAGGGTCGCTATGATCGGAACTGACTCAACGGCACTTAACAACAACAACCAGGGGGGCATGTAATAAGGATAACCACAGTCTCCTTGCTGCCAACCTCCAGTCATGTCTTGTACCTGCAAGGCACTGTATGAATAGCTGCTTGCAAAAGCTGCACACTACCTGAGAGGCTGCTTGCTTTTCTTTAGCTCTCGATGTTCTTGTTCAGGTTCCTCTTCCAGTCATCACTCATTCTCTCTGCCCTATCCTGTGAATCTCTGGGTTCCAAGATCACCATCTGAATGTTTCACTGGGTTTCCCATGTCTTTGATGTAGAGGATGTGCTCATTGTGGCTGCCTCGTCTGCCATCTTGTTCCAGAAGTCTATTCTATAGTTTTTAAAGTCCATTTTGGTAGTTTGTATCTTTCTGGAAATTTGCTCATTTCATCTAGATTATCTAATTTGTCGGCATACAATTGTTGACAGTATTTTGTTATACTCTTTTATTTGTGTATAGTTGACATCATGAAGTCTCCATTTTTATTCCTGATGTTAATAGTTTACATCCTTTCACTTTTTTCTTGACTAGTCTAGCCAAAGATTTGATAATTTTATTGATCTTTTTTAAAGAACCCCCCAAATTGTTTTATTGCTTTTATCATTTCTATTTCATTTAGGAGGACTGATGGTGCTTTTGGTTAAGCATTGGGCTGCTACCTACAAGATTTGTTCTCCATGGGGGAAAGATGAATCTGTCTGCTCCTGTAAAGTTTATATTCCTGGAGACCCTAAAGAATGTCCTAGAGTGTCACTACGAGTTGGAAGTGACTCAATGGCAGTGGATATTATTCTTATTTCATCTCTATTTCTTATACTTTCCTTTCTCCTGAGTGTTTTTGCTCTTCTTTTCCCAGTTTCTTGAAGGAAAGTTTAGGTTATTGATTTATGATATTTTTTTCTTTTTAAATATAGGCACTTACGAGCTCTGGTAGCGTAGTGGTTACGAATCGGGCTGTGAACCGCAAGGTCAGCAGTTTGAAACTACCAGCTGTTCCACAGGAGAAAGATGAGGCTTTCTGCTCCCATAAAGATGTACAGCCTCGGAAACCCTATGCAGGGTCGCTATGAGTCAGAACCAGCTCCACAGCACATAATAACAACAGTTATAAATTTCCCTCTCAGCAACTGTATTAACTGCATCATATAAATATCCTTATAGTATTTTAAATTTTATTAATCTTTTCTTACTTTCTAATTTTTCCTGTGATTTTTTTTTTTTTCTTTGACCCATTTGTTATACAGGTGTATGTTGTTACGTTTCCACATATTTGCGAATTAATTAAATTTCCTTCTATTATTGTTTCCAATTTCATTTCTGTTGGATAAATACTGAACACAATTTTAATTTTCTTAAATTAATTGAGGAGTATTTAACAGCTTAACATATGGCTTCTTCTGGCAAATGTATCCTGTGCACATGAAAAGAATTTGTATTCTGCCTATACATTTGCTACTATCCCATGTTTCACCTCAAATACAAATTTTATTTTCCTTCACAGAATTGTCCATCTGTTCCTAGGTCTTCCCTGAAGCCACTCATCATTTTTCTGGTAATGACACACTATTATTGTTATTTTTTCTGTAGCTCTAATAATTTTCTTTATATCCAGTATTTAGATGTGATTCTATATTTGTTTAAGCTCTTTTGAATTGTTTCCTAATATCCACCTCCATAAAATTTTCTTAATTTCTTGCCTTTTTTTTTAATTTTAGTAATAATGTTGAAGAGCTTCTTATATAAGTGAAAGTTTGGACAAAATAACATTATCATCCTTTCCCACTCTGTGATTTTTCAACCACAAGTTACCATAGCCTCATAGATTTCAGACCTTTCATCCCTTTATCAATTTTTCATTGGTGTAGTTACCACATAAAATAGTGAAAATCACAATAGCTAACATGGTACTAATTGTATGGGAATCTAGACAGAGACAGTTTATGTAAATTACTCAATCCACTGCCTGTTGCAAAATAAGTGATCCATAAACCCAAAACACCCAAACCCATTGCCATAATTTGATTCCGACTTATAGCTATGCTATGTAGGATCTCCAGGAGTCCTGGTGTGGTGCTGTAGGATAAGCACTGGACTACTTACCAAATGGTTGGAGCTTAAAATCCACCAGCTGCTCTTCAGAAATCCTATGTAGGATCGATATGAGTCAGAACTAATTCAGCAGCACTTAACATCATGTAGTGTTTCCAAGACTGTAATCCTTTCTAGGAGAAGATAGCTTCATTTTTCTCAGGGAAGTGGCTGATGGATTTGAACTTCTGACTCTGTGGTTAGCAGCCCAGCCCAACACCTAACCCACAGCATCACCAGAGATTAAGTGAGTTGTTGTTATTGTTGTTAAGTGTTGTTGAGTTGGTTCTGACTTACAGTGACCCTGTATTAGGTTTCTGAAGGGCAGTTGGTGGGTTTGAACTGCTGACCTTGTGATTCAAACTGATCTTGCAGTCAGTATACTTTAAGAATTATCATTGGATTCAGTTAGGACATATCTGATGTATAATAAAATAATTTATTAGTGACTTTAGAGCCTAAAAATGCTGTATATTATACTTTAGAATACACTATCCACCTGTCTGTATATTGATTTATAAAGTTGGGAGGTAAATAAGAAATTAAAAACCATTTTATATCAATATCAACATACTTTTTTTCTGTGATTTTTTATCTTGTTTCTTTATATAAGACTATTTCACTTTTCACTTCTATCACTCTACTATGTATTCCATGAATGTTAACAAAAATTTTAATTGAAAATGTATATAAAAACTCAGTAATTATAAATTAATAAAATGACAGGAAAAATTCAAAGAAATAATGATATTTCTTCCCCAAAGAATTAATCTTCGTTTTATTTACAAATATTCAAAATTATCTCACTGGGTGTATTTTATAGCTTTATAACTATATTGTTGTCAAGTGCCATCTAGTTGGTTCCGACCCATAGCAACACTGTATAGGGTTTCCAAGGAGCAGCAGGTGAGCTTGAACCACTGATCTTGCAGTTCAAAGAACTTTGCTGAACGCATTCTAAATACTTGAGACATATGCAATTGTTATTATACCAATATCCTCATAATTCAAAATAACTTTTTAAATTAATGAGTAACTTAATTTTAATTCATAATCAAATTGTACATAAAATCACTGAATTATTGTACACAACATTTAACTCTAGGAACATACTTTTGTTGTTTAAAAAAAAAAATAGAACTAAAAAATAAAACTAAACCTTTACTTTCCAGGTATGTATGATCTATTAGTTCATATTTACTTTGACAGTGAGATGTGAAATTCATTAAGGCAATCATGAACTCTTAATGAGAAGAGAAGTCTTCAGCGAGCCTTACCAGGTTCCCGACAGACAAGACATTGCTGAACTGCTCTGTCATTGGGTAGTGTTCCATGGCCATGAAGAGGGTATTCAAGACAATGCAGATGGTGATGGCTAGGTCAACAAATGGGTCCATCACAATCAGGTTGACAATGTGTTTCACCTTTAACCAAGGTTTACAGCAATCCCAAATCAAACACATATTAGCAAACTTGTACCAGCAGGGTGGGCATTTCTGTCTGGATTCTTCAAGTTCTGAAAGAAAAAATAAGTTAGAATACACATGAAAACTGCTTATTTTCCATTAAGCAGCCTTCAGTTTAAATTAAGAGAAAAAAATTCTAAAATTTGAAGTCATTAAGAGACAATATGGTGGAGTTGGTTAAAGTTTTTCATGGGTTTTCCGTTATAGAAAGGTTGGGTACAGAAAGGCTATTAAAATTTCCAAATTAAATTAGGTTAAATATAATTCTCAAGATTTGACCTGAAATATTAAATTATTTGGAAATTATGTTCAATATTCTCAGAAACAAATTGGTAGGACTTGCATTAAGTACTCAGAGATCTTCTGTGTTCAAGATAGAGGAGGGACATGTATATTATCAAAGATGCCTTCTCTCAGAAGATGACCTACACATCTTCATCAATCTCACTGAAATCTTCTTGATTGAGATAAATAGCTTCGGTTTTTAATTGAGATAGTTTTATTGATGTCAGCATTGTGTAAAAAAAGCTCAAAGTAAGACCCTTAAGAAACAAGTTTGCATATTAAGCTCAAAAAGATTCTTTCACTCTACAATTCTAAATTAACTTATAGGACATAAAAGAACAAGAAATACCCGCTGTAAGGAAATGGCTTCCTCACCATTAACATAAATCAAAGTTTCACAAAGTGAGACTCATATACTACTGGCAAAACCAAGGATGATTTGAGGTGGAACACTTCTGGAATTCCTGAATTTTCATAGTATGTATTTACTTTTTTAAAAAATAACATCTTATTGAATGTTAGATAAAAATGTAAACAGAAAATTAGGTTCCTCTTTAACAATTTTTATACAATAGTTCTGTGTCATTGATTACAATTTTTACAATGTGTCAGCATTCTCAGTATTTCCATTTTGTTTGTTCTCTTACTATTGGTCTAACTTCCCTTCCTCTGCTAGCCTTTCAATTTTGCTTTTGGGTTAATGATAAGTGTTTGGGTTAATAAGTCTCATAGAGTTAATTGCTGAAGAGAGCACAATACTTATCAATGATGGTGATTATTTTATAAGTCAGTCTATTATTTGGCCAAAATAATAGTTTCAATTCCAAGTTCAAAGGTTATCTTAGGGCCATAGTCTCACAGGTTCTTCTAGTCTCTTATCAGTCCAGTTGCTGTTGTTGTTGTCAAATGCCGTTGAGTTGGTTCTGACTCACACTGACCCTGTATAGGGTTTCTGAGGAGCAGCTGGTGAATTTGAACTGCCAACCTTGGGTTCACAGTCCAGTGCTGATCCTAAAGCGTCATGCCAGGAGTCCAGAAGAAGGTCTAGTCAATTTTTTAGGAATGTGAGTTTTGTTCTGCATTTTATTGCTATTCTATTCAGGACCTTTAGTTGTGTCTTAATTGGAATAATAGCGGTAGCCAGGAACCATTTATTTCTTCTGGTCTCAGGTTAGAAGAGGCTGTGATTCATGTGGGCTATGAGTCTTTGAGTCTTTGATTTTTTCATTCTTTTCTGTTCCGTAAAAGTAGAGATCAATGATTGTATCTTAGATGGTTGCTCCCAAGCTTTCAAGAGCCGAGACACTACACACACCAAACACAGATGTAGAACATTACCTTTATAAACTATGTTATGCCAACTGATTGAGGTGTCCCTTGAGATTATGGTCCCAAGCCTTTTGACCCAATAAACCAATCCCTAGACATATGTAATTGGACCAATAAACAACATTCTTATCAATGGAAAAAAACATTGAACTGGTCAAGAACTTCATTCTTCTTGGATCAACTATCAACACTCATGGAAGCAGCAGTCAAGAAATCAAACGACATATTGCATTAGGCAAATCTGTCACACAAGACCTTTGTAATGTGTTGAAGAGCAAAGATGTCAGCTTGAGGACTAAGGTGCACTGACCCAAGCCATGGTATTTTCAATAGCCTCATATGCATGCAAAAGTCGAACAATGAATAAGGAAGACTATAGAAGAATTGATGTTTTTGAGTTATGGTGTTGGAGGAGGATATTGAAATGCGATGGGCTGCAAAAAGAACCAACATATCTGTGTTGGAAAAAGTGCAGTCAGAGTGCTCCTTGGAGGCCAGGATGGCCAGACTTTGTCTGTCATACTTTGGACATCTTGTCAGGAGGGAACATTTGCTGGAGAAGGATATCATGTTTGGTAAGGTGACGGGTCAGAGAAAAAGAGGAAGACCTCCAGCAAGATGGATTGGCAAAATGGCAGCACCAGTGGGCTCAAGTGTTGCAACAACTGTGAAGCTGGCCCGGAACTGGGTAGCGTTTTGTTCTGTTGTGCATAGTGTCGCTATGAGTCGGTACTGACTCGATGGCACCTAACAACAATAAAGACGTATGTAAATATGTAACTACGCCGTCCAGTAAAATATATAGCAGTCACACAAAAATCATTATATAAAATTCGTTTTTAAATGCAGGCATTATGAATAAAAGTACAAGGATTTACAGAAAATTTTCAACTAAAAATGGAATGAGTATACAGAAATGCACAGATGTTTAAGCTTTTACCCAAAGTAGTGAAATTTGATAAATACAGACAGTGAAAGAATCCCTCATGGTGCAGTGATTAAAGCACTCACTGCTAACCAAAGAATGGTGATTTGAACCCACCAACCACTCCTCAGGTAAAAGCTGTGTAGTCTACATCCATGAAATCTTTAGCCTTGGAAACCCAATGGGGCAGGTCTATGCAGTTCTATAGGGTCACTATGAACCAGAATTGACTCAACAGCAATCACTTTGTTAGTTTTTTTGGTTACTGGTAAATACATTTTTGAACTAACTACCATGGAGTCAATTCTAACTCATAATGATCTCGTAGGACAGAGTCGTACTGCTGCTCCTAGAGCTTCTGATACTATAAACCTTTACTAGAGCAGATTGCCTCATCTTTCTCCTGCAGAGTGGCTGATGGGTTTGAACCACTGACCTGGTGGTTAAACAATCCCACTGCACCACCAGGACACCTTTATTTACCATTATCTTTTAGCAAGATTATTTTTTAATCACTTCTGTGGGGAAAAGATGCATTATTTATTTGTTTAGGTCAATATTATTACTGCACACCTTATTCACTATTTTGCCCAATACAGAACCACAACTTCCTAGCAATCAAATCGAGAGAAAGATTAATTTTCCCATAGAAGAAATAATTTACTCTGATCAGTAATTCTAGCATTACTATTGTCCAACTGGAATATTCCCCCAAACCTGGCACAGTTTAGTATGAACTAAACTTTTTAAGATAGCAAGCAGCATATGAAATGCATAGATAATACCAAAGGTAATGATTTTTGTTTTGCTTTTAAACATTTTCTACTAACTAATGCTGTAAAAAGGAGCTCTGGTAGCGTAGTGGTTATAAATAGGGCTGTGAACCGCAAGGTCAGCAATTCGAAATTACCAACTGCTCGGCGGGAGAAAGATGAGGCTTTCTGCTCCCGTAAAGATTTACAGCCTCAGAAACTCTGTTCAGGGTCGCTATGGGTTGGAACCGACTCGACGGCACTTAACAACAACAACAAATGCTGTAAAATTTACCATTTCCTTAAAGTAAATTCTGCTAATTTTTAATAGTATTCTTAAAGTATTCCCTTTATTTCCATGTCCTCTGATATACAGTTTCATAAACAACAAAGAATATTCAAGTCATAAATCAGAGAAAATATAATAATTATTATATAAGAGCCATTTTGGTAAGGGCTTGATTGCACAATGGTTAACCACATAACTGCTCCATCACAGAAAGATGTAGCAGTCTGGTCTCATGAAGATTACAGTCTTGGAATCCCTATGGACTGTTCTACTTTGTCTTAAGAACTGCTATGAATTGGGATTGGGTTTGGTTCTTGGTAGTCCTTTTGCAGATGTTTTTAAACTCCCCTTAGTAACCTCATGTTTATACTGACGATAAAATCAATTATGTTGTTGTTGTTGTTAAATGCCGTTGAGTCAACTGTAACTCATACTGACCCTGAATAGGGTTTCAAAGGAGCAGCTGGTGGGTTTGAACTGATGACTTTTTGGTCAGCTGTCCAGAGCTTATCCTACAATGCCACACATGGCCCAATTATCAATTATAGTAACCAACAAAAGATAAATGACAAAACCATTCTTTACCTGTGAACTCTCATAATTGCTACCTGTAGTTCATGTGGCCCATTAGTCCTTTTTACTAAGATTTGAGTGACAGTTTAAATAAAGCAAATTTGGTTCCATTCAACAATTCACATACATTTTGTTTTGTGGCATTGATTGCAATTCTTGCAATGTAACAGCACTGTTCCCACTTGCTTCCTGTTTCCTGCTATTCATTCTTTCTTATCCCTTCCTGCCTTCTGAACTTTGTTGTTGTTGTTAAGTGCTGTTAAGTCCATTCCAACCCATAGAGACTCTATATAGGGTTTCTGAGGAATGGTTGGTGAGCTCGAACCGCCGACCATGCGGTTCAAACCGATTTTGCAGTCCAGCAGATTAACCAGCGCCACACCCCTGGGCAAACGTTGCCCTTTTGCTATTGTATGATTGATTGTTCTAAGGAGCGCATTCCTCCCTTGTGTTATGGTTCTCCGTATAGACATGTCTGTAGCTTGGCTGAACAAGTTCCAGATATGAATGGTGACTAAAGGCCATACTCTTGGTAGTTCCACCAGTCTCTCCCTGACCAATAAGTCTGGTCTTTTTAAAATAATCTTTAGTATTTGGTGGCCAGCTACTTTAGACAATCCTGAGCAGAAGGGGAGAAAAATGAAGAACAAAATTCAAGTTCTTAAAAAAAGAATGAATTTACTAGTGTGCTAGAGACTGGTAAGACATCTGAGACTTTGGCACTTAGATATTTTTCAAACCTGGAGCGGAACCTACTCCCAACAGCCAATCAACAGACAGGTCTAAAAAGTGAAAGATAACGCTTTATAGTGAGGAACAGTCTCCTCAGAATAATCAACTATATGAGACCAAAAGAACAACATTTGCCCCAAAACCAAGCTTAGAAGGCAAGAGGGGGCAGTAAAGAATGGATGGGAACAGGAAGCCAGGGAAGAAGTGAGAAAAGTTCTCTTATATTAAGGGAATGACAGTTAATGCTATAAAAGGAAATGTATGTAAATTATTGAAAAGAAAACTAATTTTCCCTGCAAACTTTCATCTAGACCATATATATATATACCTATTGTTCAGTAGGTAAAGAGAATAAAACAGAAAGTAAATTGGAAAAGTTCAAAAGAGGAACTTCAGCAGGTATTGGTCATCTTGATATCAGGAACAAACTGAGCAAAGTTGTTCAATTTCTAAAATAAAATTGCTGAATCATTTATGCCAAAAAAGAGACTTTTGAACCTTAAAGAAAAGTAAAGCACTCACGAGAGAACTACAACCACTTCTCCATTGTTCCTCTGTGAATCATCCCTTCCCGCCCCCCCATCACCACCACCACCAGTTACAGTGAAATTTACATCTTTGGCTCACTCACCTTGATTCCTCAGGTGCTTCCAACCCAACCTCCCATCATCCTTTCTGAGCATATGAGCAGAAAGTATTTCTATGTATTTTACAAAACTAGATTTGAACATCAAACTGGTTTTGTTCATCCATTACTGCTTCGTTAAATATTAAACTATTATTACTCATACTTAAGGAGCTCTGGTAGAGTAGTAGTTAGGTGTCTGGCTGCTGACCTCAAGGTCAGTAGTTCAAAATTACTAGCCATTCCACAAAAGAAAGACAAATCTTTCTGCTTCCATAAAGATTTACAGCCTCGGAAACCCTATACAGGGTCTCTATGAATTGGAACCAGCTCCATGGCACATAATCACCACCATACTTAATTACGACTATGAACAAAGGCAACTTGACTCTAGTTAAAAAATAGGAAAACAAAAGTTGCTCACTGGATCAACATGCTTGATTTGTAAAAAGAAAAGATGAACCAAAAAAACATAATTAGACTTAAAAGAAAGGATTTCCAAATAACCAGATTATGTCAACCTAAGAAAAATTTCTAATTACATGGAACAACAACAACAAAGGAGGTTACTGCATTACAATCAACATATGTGTGTGTTAACAACCAACCCTCATCAATGCTACATTCAAAATATTCAGATATAACTGAATAAGAATAGTAATTCTATATAGCTAATGAAAAAAAGACCGAAACCTTAGCAATTGTCCTTAACAAAAATACAAAGTAAAAAACTTTGCAAACATTAAATCCCAAATACTATCTGCCTCCTGCTTACTAAGTTATATTAATTTCTGGGGCATAATTTCATCATAGGAAACTCCATGAGACATATTCCATTGAGGGAGATCTGGGTGCATTCATGTCAACACTGTAACTGAATCATTGGACTATTCCAATCTTGTAGTGATGTTTTTAAAATTCATTTCTTAGGTTAGCTCAAAAAGAATACTATCAGAAGTGCAAAGTATGACTGTTTAGACTTACCCTGTCTCCTTCTCTACTTCCTGCTTTAGGGAGCAGACATGCTGCTGACATCGGTAGCAGAACCACTGGCAGCTCCCTCTCAGTGGTTTTGCTATGGCAAGGAGCAGAAGACCAGAGAATCTTCAAAAGATTTACCTGGAGGGACAGGGAGGAGCAAGCTACTGGCAGCTGGGGGGGAGAGGGAGTGCAAGCTAACGCAGGCGAGGTTGGGGAAGAACGCACTGATATTTAATATTCCGTAGAAATCAATAAAAGATTTCTGATACTGCAATAGGATATTTTGAAAATTGGGCCTTGCAATCTTGATATGGTTGTGCTATATATGGTTATCTACACTGTGAATTGTTTTTTGTTTTTTTCTGGCTGTGATTTTTTCTGGTATTAGTATCATGGGACCTTTACATTCAGACTAGAAAACAACTATTTCAAAAATCAACTCAATCTCGAGAGAAACTACAATGAACAATAGTAAAGTCATGTGTGTTCTCTTTCTCTCTCCTTCTTTATTTCTCTCTTTACTTGTTTCTCCTTTGATAAATCAATGTGTGCGCACACACAGGCACACACACATGCACACACACACTGATGGGGGCTAGGAAGGAAGGAGATAAAAGAGACTGGAAGAGAGGGAAGACAGGGGCAAGAAGAAGGACAGAATACATTTTGCATGAAAGTATTTTCCAAGTAATTGAAGCTGATGCTTGAATTTAGTTACTGTGTGGAAAGGCACAGACATCTTTAACAACAAAAATAACAACAATAACACAAGTACTACTACTAATATTTATTGAGTGCCTTCTAAGTGCCAGGTACACAGGTGCTTGGTATATCATGCCTCATTAAATCCTTACAGAAACCCTAGGCCTAAACATCAGTATTCACATTTTTATGATGAGGAATCTGACATTGAGTCATAACTGACACACTTAACACATGGCTGAGCCAGAAAGTGATCATAGGTCAAGCTCTCCCCAAAGTCTTTATTTTGGCATTATTGACCCAGAATTTAAATAACATAACTACTTAGAGAAAATCTTCAACTACAGAGAAAGCTGATGTATTATATTAGTTTGGTCACAAAGAGGCAAAAATAGAACTACAGAATCTTGAAGACTTTGCTTCAATAAGATTAACAGTAAATCCTAATTCACATTTATATTTCTGGTTAAATCAAAGGATTTGATAAGATAATTTGTATCTGAAGTAATTAATACAATTCAAATTAGTTAACATAACAATAATAAATACTTGCCATTACACTCCTTTCAATGCCATGTAGCAAACGTCACCAGTTTAGAATTGAGCTATGAAAGCAGTGTTTCAAATTTACCGAATTTATAGCAGCTTCCTGGATCTTAAATGTAAAAATCTACACAAGGTAGTAGAATCCAGAAATTGTACATGGATTTTATTTTTACTTAGCATAAGATATGAATGATGATATGGCATCAATAGGTAAAGTATTTTTTTGGAGTTTTTAATTTTTGCATCATATCAAAGTAATATCGAGTAGCTATCTCATAAGATTTTTGACATACCTTCCATGGTGTTGGTTAAAATACTGGCTATACTCATTGCTCGTTGCCTTGTGGTGGGGTCTTCTAATAAATCCATGGAAACATGGTAAGAACTGGATCGCCGTTTTCTTATTTCGGTTTCAGTGGTTGTGCCCTAAATAAAAAAATTTCAAAACCAAGTGAAATAAGGCAGTAAACCATTATTTATTAAGGCAGTACTGGTGTGGTGCTGTGGGTTAATGTGCCAGAGTACAAAGCCGTTTGAACGGCAAGGTCAGTAGTTCAAGCTCACCAGCTGCTCCTTGGAAATCTTATACAGGGTCACTATGGGTCAGAACTGACTCGACGGCACTTAACAACAAAAAAAACCCCAAAGCATTCCCGTAAATGATGTTTGTTACTAACCATTCACCATGCTTTTGAATATCTAAACAGATCATAAAGATATTACTGGAATTATCCTTCTTGGGATGGTTTAAAAGTTCATCAGATTCTAAGCATTCATGGTTACTTAGGATACCAATTAAGATTGGTATTTTTGTTAAGTGTAGTTGAGTTGGTTCTGACCCATAGTAATCTTGTATACAGTTTCATGCTGGTGAGCCTGAACCACTGACCATGTGGTTCAAATTACTTTGACGTCCAGCACATTAACCCACAGGACTATATCAGGACTCTTTAGAGACAGACACTTTCTATTCCTCCAAGCAGAAACTTTGGGTTGAAGAAAATATTCCTACTATTGAGAGATAACCATTTAGCACTGCAAAGCAATCCTGATGGTATATTATGCTCTACGATTTGTTCTCAAGTTGAGTTATTAGGTCTTGGTAGAAATACATTCATGTGGTTTAATGCATGAGAAGTATTTCTAAACTTTACCAAATATGTATCAGTAATACTTCTCATATAATATGAATTTCTCCTAAAATGGTTTCATAACCTAGAAAGATAACATTTCTAAACATCATAAATAGTTACAATAAATTTCAAAACTAACCTACAATTTTATCTTACAAAGGACTTTATCCACAGAATGACTCCTAACTGGCATGGAAACGCTATTTGAATAGGGAGCATCAATCAGGGGACTTTCATTTTTAACACTGCCACTGCTAGTCAGTGGTTGTCTGCATGTTGCTGTGCTGCTGAAGGTTATGTCACTGGTATTTGAAATACCAGCAGGTTCAACCATGGCAGATAGGTTTTAGTGGAGCTTCTAGACTAAGACAGACTAGAAAGGAGAGGCAGACAACTTCTGAATGATCAGTCACTGAAAACCTTGTGAATATCCGTGGAACACTGTCAGCACCTGAATACTGAATATTGAAACATTATGTATAATACAGCATCAGAATATCATCATATATAGTGCCATAAGCTAAGCCACTCAGGTTGGAAGGCACTCAGAATGACTGAGGAAGAGCTGCCTTCTTCAAGTAGAGTTGATCATAATGACACATGGAGAAAAGCTTTCAGGACCTTCATTTGCTGTTAGGACACAAGAGAAATGAAGAGAAGCAGTGGAAACATACATTAATAATTGGAACATGAAATGTACAAAGTATAAATCTAGGAGTGTTGGAAGTTGTTAAAAGTGAAATGGAATGGATAAAGATCAATATCTTAGTCAGCCTTATAGAGTGGCAATCATATAGTTGAACTTGACAATCATATAGTCTACTATGCCGGGGATGATTAAAGAGGAATCACGTCACATTAATCATCAAAAAGATCATTTTAATATCTTTCTTGAAGTACAATGTTGACTGTGATACAATACTATCCATGCACTTACAAGGAAGAACAGTTAATACCACTATTATTCAAAGTTACACACCAATCACTAAAGCAAGTGATGAAGAAATTGAAGAATTTTAACAACTTCTTAGGAGTCCTGGTGTGGCACTTTAGGATAAGCACTGGACTGCAAACCATAGGCAGGCAGTTTAAATCCACCAGCCTTTCCTTGGAAACCCTACACCGGGTGGCTATGAATTGGAATTGACTCTACGGCACTTAACAACAACAACCAAATTCTTCAGTCTGAAATGAATCAAACATGCAATCAAGACATAAAACAAAAAGGATCAGCAGTTGGAAAATATGGACTTGGTAAGAGAAGTGATGCTGGAGATCACATGATAGAATTTGAAAGACCAATGACTTCTTCATTGCAAATGAAGCTTGAGAAGACAAAGTCAGTATTATAGTGAAATGTGCAAAGATCTGGAGTTAGAAACCAAAAGGGAAGAACATGCTCAGCATATCTCACGCTGAAAGAACTGAAATAAAATTCAAGCATATATTTGAAATATTGAAGAATTCTATAAGCAAAATATTGAATGATGTAGAAAGCATCAAGAGAAGATGGAAGGATTACACAGAATCACCAAAAACAAAAAGGTTGATGTTCAACCATTTCAAGAGATAGCATCTGATGAAGCACCAATGGTACTGCAACAATAAGTCCAAGATACACTGAAGGCACTGGCAAAGAACAAGTATCCAGGAATTGGTTGAAATTGAAATAGAAATCTTTTAAGAAACTGATGAAGCACTTGAGGCACACACTCATCTATGCCAAGAAATACGGAAGACAGTTACCTTGCCAACTGATTGGAAGATATCCATATTTGTGCCCATTCCAAAGAGATGTGACCCAATGAATGTGGAAATCATTGGACAGTTATCATTAAAATCACATGCAAGTAAAATCTTGCTAAAGATAATTTAAAAATGGCTGAGACAGTACATTGACTGGCGAACTTCCAAAGGTTCATGCCAGATGGAGAAGAGGACATGGAACTAGGAATATCATTGCTGACATCAAATGGATCTTCGCTGAAAGCAAAGAGTACCAGAAAGATGTTTATCTGTGCTTTTGACTATGCAAAGCCTTTCCACTGTATGGATCATGACAAGTTATGGACAACGTTGTGGAGAATGAGTATTCCCTAACACTTAGTTGTGCTCATGAGGAATCTGCACATAATCCAAGAGGCAGTTTTTCACACAGATCAAGGGAACACTAAATGTTTTAAAATCAGGGAAGGTATGCACCAGGGTTGTATTCTTTCACCATACTTATTTAATCTGTATGCTGAGCAAATAATTTGAGAAACTGGGTTATTATATGAAAAACTTTGCATCAGGATTAGAAGAAGACATTAAAATCCTGTCATATGTATATGATCCAACCTTGTTTGCTGAAAGTGAAGAGATCTTAATATACTTACTTATGAAGATCAAAGACCACCGTCTTTGGTATGGATTGCAGCTCCATGTAAAGAAAATAAAAATTCTCAGCATTGTAGAGTAAATATCATCATGATAAATGGAGAAAAGATTGAAGTTGTCAAAGACTTCATTTTGCTTGGCTCCACTGTCAACACACATGGACATATCAGTCAAGAAATCAAATGTCCTACCACACTAGACAAATCTGCTGCATAAGACCTCTTTAAAAGTGTTCAACAGCAAAGATATAAGTTTAAAGGCTAAGTGTCTGACCCAAGTCACAGTATTTTCAATAGCCTCAGATGCATTTGAAAGTCGACAATGAATAAGGAAGACTGTAGAAGAATGTATATATTTGCATTATGGTGATGGAGAAGAATATTAGAAGTATCATGGATTGCCAGAAGAATAAAGAAATCTTTGTTAGAAGAAGCATAGTCAGAATGCTCCTTAAAGGTCGTGGCTAGCCTCAATGGCTTGATAATCAGAACTCAACTAGAGGAAGACAAAAAAATTGATGATGGAAATTAGTGTAAATTTCTGCATTTTGATGAACGTGACCTATAACTATGGATGTAGT